TTATAGTGGAATTCTATGGTATCAGTATAGTAATATATGATTTTTTGGTTATTTAACTATATGTGTATGTAAAAAAAATTTTCTTTTTATATCCTCCATGTGCAAAATTTTGAAAGGCTTGGCAACCTACATCAAACAGCAACTAAGTACAAAGGTCATAACTAGAAGAGATAATTGTTTGCTTTACTACTTTATTTACTGTTCTATGTTTTAAGAAAAATAAGTTTATGAGCTTATTTCTAGATAGTAATAATCTATGTACATATATAATGTATAATAATAGAAATGTGACTGTATTTCACAAAATACTAGTTTACAAAACATAGCCAAGACTGGTCACTTTGTACAGACTAAAGGTCAGTTTTATATTATTGGAAATGGTAACATGAGAGCACGTGTGCTGCATCACTAACTTCTGTATTGTTAGCCAGGCATGGCAAAAAGGTCAATATAAGAAAAATAATAAATATATAAAAATGTATAATGTTATGAGATTTAAGCAATTTAGTCTAAACATTTATGTTTTCGTGTTATAATTTGTTGTCTATCTAGAATGAAAGAGGCATGATTTATATTTCCTTTTTTTTTAACATGGTTATGAGATCGTTCAAAATCGACCAAACCCATTCAGAGGTTTGTTACTGAAAATAACAGATAGAATAATTTATTTCTTTTAAGAAAATGTTTGATAATTATCTTGACATTATAAAGATTTTGATGTGAAATTTGAAACTTTTCTGATGCATATAAGTATTTTTTATATTAAAATGAATATTACTTTGCATGTTGGATTGGCAACATGCGAGAAGGAAAAGAAGGCATAAAAAAAACATTGCTTAACAAACCTTAAGACTTAATAAAAAAATTTATATTTTGCATATGAAAACATAATGTTTACTGATAATATGCTAAATTTCGTTAGCATACATTTACTAATTTTAAAGTTATAGCATGAAAACTATAACAAGCACAAAATGGTTACGAGATTGGTCCTAGGGACTGAGCCCATGCTGAAAGAGTTAAGCAGTGACCTGTTTGCATGTATTTCTTCTCTCTCTTTCTGAAGAAAGTTCTGCTTGTGAGATTTTTATAGAACTCATTTCCTTTAATTAATGTCTATAATGTAATCTTCCTCTGTACTTTCTCTCTTCTATGATCATATCTGTTTAGTGTAGATAAGACAAACCCCTGGTTTATACTTCACATATTGTAGCTTTGAATGCACCTCAGTATTTACTTTAATGTTTCCATTTCCTTATTTAGATAATTGTCTTAGTGTAGCTTACATTAGATATTCACTGATATACTCATCTTTTCTTTGCTTGACATGTCCATTTTATGGGAAACAAATGTGTTTGTGTAGGTGTCTTTGACTTGTTGGCGATAAATGTCAACAGTAAATGGACAGCACACAATTCACTTGTTTTAAAATAATATATTCAAAACAAGTCAAACTTATGTACAAAGATGTGTTACAATATTGGTTATGACAGTTGTATTCAGTGCTTTAAATAATTCTCCTTTTTGTCAAAGTCCACACAGGGAGGTTCAATTTCTTCAAACACCCTTGACAAAACAAATTATTCTATTGTATCTCTGTTGTTACAGTGCCATTGTGAAACTCACTTTAGATATTGCCCGTTACAGTTAAAATAACAATAATGAAGTCTAACAACTTTTTTTTTTTTGCATTTTGTATTTGCACATATTTATAACACACAACAGAAAAATCTTTAAATATCTTGCTCTCTAGTGGTGACAGTATTCGCATGACAATAAAAACTTAGAAGCTTCGAGTAAGATGATGTCAATAGTATTGTAAAAGCCTAGCACAACAATTGTACTGCATACACAACATGTGACTCGTACAAAGTTACTTAACGAAATTTGTCATAATTATCACTTTTGATATAATTCTTTTAACACTTGTTATGGAAACTAAACTCTTTTATATCCAGCAACGTGTGTCATACTTGAATATTCATTAATAATTATATTTTCCCATCCATGGAAGCACTTATAATTCTTGTAAGTTGCTATAAAATGCTTCATAATGTAAAACATACTTGCCCTCAATGACAAAAAAATATTAACTTGTTCTTTTATGATAAAAACACTTTAAATTAATATTAGATGAGTGAGTTAATCAACAAGAGATGGAACATACATTACTGAAATAAGTTAGTGAAATTGTATTTTTTTTTTATTTATGCATATATCTATCTAACAAAAGTAAATAAAATACTTAGGCTTCAAATTTTTGTTGTACTAAATTTTGGCAAACACTATTTTATAATGATAATAGATATGAAATCAATACTTTGTGGAATGGGTACTTTAGAATTTTGAGTAAAGTTTGTGTAGCAAAAAGCTGCCCCTCCCCAGTGGCACAGCAGTATGTCTGCGGACTTACAATGCTAGAAACCGGGTTTTGATGCCCGTGGTGGGCAAGGCACAGATAGCCTATTGTGTAGCTTTGTGCATAAATTCAAACAAACAAGCATAAAGCTGCAAAATGTGAAACAAAACTTGCAAAGATGGTATTTTATATGTATATATTTAAAAGTTTGATTTAAATATTTGTTTATATGGAATCCCCAAGTATCACTAATAAACAACCAAATTATGAAAGCAAATTCATTTGTTTTTGAAGTGGGAAGATGTGCATACAGATAAATTTATTATTACTATGAAAAATCAATTTGATAGTTACATTATAGATATGATAACATATGTGAAGCAGAACATTTTTTTTTCTTAAATGCAAATGTTTTTATCTAAGAGCATAGCTATTCCTAGCAGTAATATATATATGTTATCCAGTTTATAAGTAGCAGCTTACCAGTAGTGGAAAAGTACAAAGTAATACTTAAATAACTGTTTGCACTAATTGTACATTAAATTTTAATATTTGTAGCCATACAGTGATACTGATTTTTTTTCAATGTAATCAGTTGTATTAAGGAAAGATATTGAAATAAAATGGTAATATTGTATTACAGAAACTTATTTTATTTTATTTGTTTAGGCAAAGGAGGTAAAAACCGTAGGAGAGGAAAGAATGAAAATGAAGCAGATAAGAGAGAATTAGTGTTTAAAGATGATGGTCAAGGTATTTCTTCTTTTTTTATAATGTATAGTATCAGTATAATTTTAAAGCTGAAAAATTACAGTGTCAACAATCCATGAAGAGATAATGTGCTGAATTATAATCACAATAATTAATATCTAATTAAACTGTGTAAATGAGACTAGCTGTGAGAGATGAAATTTTTCACTTACACACATAGGCAAGTTAAATGTGTATGGGTCTTAAGGATATCATTAGTTTCGTTGATAAGCTTAATCTTTTTTTGCTAATTCTAGATTATGTAATGTTTATAAGGAGTTATCTTAAAATACATTGTTTCTTGGCTCTAGAGTATGCCCAAGTTGTGAAGATGTTGGGAAACGGTAGGCTAGAAGCCATATGTTTCGATGGTGTAAAACGACTCTGTCACATACGAGGAAAACTCCGAAAAAAGGTATTCTTGCTTAGAAGTTATTATTTTGATGTTTAAATATTTGTTACACATACATAAAAGGTAAGATTATTTTATATGATGTAATTTTGCATTATTCTACCCCATAGCATCAATTCTTTGTCATTAATGGTTGAGAGCAAATAACTTGGTATAAAACTTTAAATGTTGCCTTGAAAAGTCTGTCAACAAATTGCATCAGTCTTCTGGTTGTCAAGGCTGTTGCCTTGCATGCTTAACATCCAGCAGAACTTTGAAGACTACAGATTTTCATAACACAGTGAAAACACATTCATTTAGGCCTAATTACAACTTGCTCAAACATGTATGATAAATGTAGACATTTCTTACAATATAAGGTTTTGGTTACAGAGGAAGAGCTTCAGAGTCGGTCTCATTGCAGAAAAAAATAGTAAGCATATCAAAACCTAATCAAAGAAGCTATAAAGGTATTCAGGGTATACTGCATTGCATGGATTAGGGCTGACTGTTGATTTCTAAGCAAGTTTTATGCTAAAGTTAAACAGGTGCATTAGTATATGCTCATTGTAATTTATAAACACCTGAAAGTACAACCCTATTTTGCTACCTGATATTCAGTAATAAATACATTGAATTATTGTAACCCAATCTTCTATTGATTATTGATTTCTCGTATAAATATCTGCGAAATGGGCTTTTGCCCTTCATAAGTATGTTAACATTAATGACATATATAAACTAATAGACCTGTGAGTTGAAATTACATACATTGAGTATTGAAATGTAACAGTAATAACAATAATATGGATAAATCTTATTGATTCCTAAAATTGCATCAAAAGCTTCAATGAAATGTTAAATTTTAAGATGTTCCTTCAGAGCTAACTATTACTGATTTACACTAATAGATAGCACCAGTGCATAAATGTTATACTCTCGTTAGTCTGTGATGCACTGTATAAGTAGTGCCTATATATAGTACTGTCCCTTTTGCATTGATAAGCTCTCACTTACATGTTTTGAATATTTCTTATTGATTGGTCAAGATAATATTTAGGATTGTATACAAACTAATCATTGCATCCAGGGAAAAATAGAACTAGTAATACTAAAAACTGATTTGTTGATAATAAACAGCACAGACAGATAGATTACCATTCTGAAATTTATTAGTGATCTCTAGGTAAGTTTTTGGTTATATGATTTGTATTACTCGAAGTATAATTGAGTAATGTGAGTTTATACAAGTTTGGATGTTGCTATTTTATAGACTTATGTGTTGTTTGTATTGTTCTATTTGATAAATATACCTTAAATGCAAATTATGTATTGTATAGAGCTGAATTTGTGGTGTGGTAACTGAACCCTTATTCAAAATTTTGGAAGCTGAATATACTAAAGGAAAAATTAAACGTAGTAAGAATAAAAAATTATTTTTTGATGTTTAGTTCAGCAATATGTGAAAACTATGCACATTTACTATCACAAAAAATGCTGTAAAGAGACTTTGTTGTGAATATAATAATTCATTATTCCAAGATTGACATCAATAACATTCAAAATGCCTCAAGTGAAGAAAATTTGTGTAAAATACATTGTGCATGAAAGGTATTGCCTAGTAAGCCATCATGCAACATAGTTTTTGCCATGAAGAAAATATAATGTATGTGCATAGTTCATTCTTAGCCGTATTCATGCATGTCACCCACAAAATTAGAGTTCTTGTGCAGTAAATATTACCAGTTTCTTTACATGTAATTACATAAGTAAAAATGCCACCTTTCTTTGCATAAAGAGATCCTCACAATTGTTTATTTTTTTTCCATTTTACATGTTATGGAAAGGATGTCACAGTTACAGCTACATTGTCTGTTTAGTAGTGTACCACTGAAAAACAACACATCATTATATATATAAGCAAAAGAAAAAATGATCAGTGGCCAAAACAGTGTATAAAACTTAACTTCTTGAGGCCTAATAAAACTCTGGAAATAAATACGATTACATAAAATATGATAAAAATTTCAAGATTTATTTACTACTATGATTTGAAAATGTATGAATATTCTTAACTACATAATGAGCTGTTTTCTAATACCACATGCTGGGATCCTTACTATTAAAATTTCTATAATACAGTAAACATTTTGTGAATGGAGAAATAAACCACTTGTCTATATTTAATAAACTGAGTAAATTCAGTTTAGAAAACCTGAAAGAGTAATATAACCAGCCAATTACAGTTGTACATAGGTTTATGTGAGTATTTCTACATTGACAACTTTTGAAAGATATTTTCAACATGTGTGAACTGAAGATAAATAATATAAAACTATAAATACATGTGCACAATAATTACACAAATTTGTATGACCATGTGTAAAAAAAATGTTTACACTTTTCGTTTGTTTTATATATGTGACAACTTATAGGATATTTTAGTATTCTTGACTTTGAAATGAAAAATAAGTAATCCCATGTCAAAAGCATTTTTGCCTGATTTCAAATCAGTGTATAGAAATTAACGTGTGATTGCCATAACAACAGGTGTCTTGTGCTTCTCACCCGACAACCAAAGGAATGCTCCAGGAGACAGGTTGCACAATGTTTGAAGAAACAATTACAAATTCATCTTATTTAAAAGTTCCATATAGTAAATAAGTAATAGTTTCTAGGAAAAGCCTAGCTGACCCCACAGACATTAGTCATGTTCAACATATATCAAAAGTAAGAAAATTTGCAATTTTACATGATTATACTTTTTAATAATAAAAAAAAAATATTCGTAATATTATAATGAAATAACTGCAAAATGTAGAAAGTATTTATAAACTCACTTTACACATATATATATATATTATTTTTATTTTTTTCATACTAACATCAGTTCAAATTTGGTGAGTAACTAAAATAATATCAGAATAAACAACGTAGGTGTAACTGTAAACGCAAATATAATGAATGAAGAACAAAATATTTATGAAATTTCTAGTTACACTAGAAAATACTTGTAGTTGGGGAACAAAAATGCAGTGTAAGGTGTTATTCACAAAAATTTACTGAAATTTAGATTCAAAGAAACCTTCAACAAGGCTGTCTTGTGTAACTCCATTTTACCAAAAATTAAAACTAAGACTAGAAAAATGTATAGAATACCTGCCAATGTGTATGCTATATTTATTATTATGTTGTTGTTTCTTATCTCTACATCTTTAGATCAAGTCACAAAGAGTGCACACCCACTAAACTGAGAATCTTCTTTGGGTTATTATAGTTTTTTATGTGTAGTTTCTAAACACATTAGTGTATGGTTAGCACTTGCTTCCTCTATTGCATTTTGTACAGGGAGACTGAGCTTTTATTCCATTTTAAAGTTTTGCGTGCCTGAAATGTCTGTCAGTGGCAGTTGATTTATTTTCTTGAACCTTTCCCCAGTCAGTTTCCTCTATAGCATTTTCATTTGATTTGTATGGTGCATTTGGTTATATTTCTGGGATATTGATTCATAGCTCCATTATTTGAGAGAGTATCAGCTTTCTCGCTTACATGGGACTCCCACATGTTGAGTAGAGGCCATAGCTGAGTTCAAACTACTCGTAGATATTTGGTGGTTTTACTGTAAGATATAACCTCATTATTAAGTTTTGTGTGAGGTTTCCAAGAACATTGGTGGTTGTTGGTTGTGAAAAATGCAGATATAGATTTGCTTGGATTGATTGTTTAGTTTAATTTACTTGCATATTTGGAACATTTATTTGAAGCTTTGTTGATTCATTTTGTGCTTTGTTTGGGTTTATTCTGGATACCAGTGTTTTTCAGTTATGCTTTTTTTAAATTAAAGTTAAACTTAGAGTTAAGGAAGTTTTTAAGGATTTGTTCATTTAGTTTTAGTTACTTACTAGCTGAGAGTACCCATCTACTGGATGGATGAAATAAAAACTCCTTTATAACAAAGGATAGGAAATACATAAAGGTAACAACACTGAAAAGAAAGACTTAACTGTTTTCAAGAATTCTTATCAGTATGAAATTAGATGCAGGATCCAATCCCCCACGTGATTATATATCAGTGTGTCAAGTTGTGCTGATTTGATAGGTCTCTCCAAAATTAGATATGAAATTAAATGAGGAGGTCCACCCCCATGTCATCCTGTATCACTGTGTCATGTTGAATGCTGATTGATCAAAGAACATGGAAATGTATAAGGAACACATGGCTGAAAGGTGCAAACTTAACTTTATATATTAGATACTTATTAATTTAATTTCAGTTATTGTTATACATATAACTACATATTTTAGTTATTATTATAATTAACTGAGTGATGATGACCTTCACCTCTGTCAAAGTACAACATCTAGGGTCTCTACATTAATTAACCTTTTTACAATACTCTCCTTAGGCTAGTCAGCCACCAAAATTTAATGATCAGAAGTTTTTAGTGAACATACTTTTGGTTTACCTTCATGATTATTTTCTGCATTTCTGATGCATTCTGTTCACATACACAGGGATTTTAGATTGCATGTCCCACAAGGAATGTTGATGTATGTCAATAACTAAATAATTTTCATTATATACATTTTTTTTGTTACTGTTGTTATTGTGTTACATGTTTTTAGTTATAGTTATACTTATTATTAATAAATATCATCTGTGTCCATTGATACATTTTTGTTACAGTTAATTGAAAAACTGTTTGATACTCATATTATTATATCATTAGCATGGGTTGCAGTTTTAATATCTTTGGGGAGTTTTTGTGTATATCATTCATATAAATTAAAAACAAGGAGGGGCTAAGGACATTACCCTGGGGGATTCCCTAGTGAAATGGATAAGTTTTGGAAAGACTATTATTTACTTGTATGTTGATTTTCCTTGTATTTATGATGTCTGAGATCCAACCCAGCATCTTTTTAATGATTCTTGTTTGTCATAAAAGGGTGATAAGTTTATTTTTCCACATTTTGTCAAATACATTACTTAGATCGATTAAAACAGCAAGACTGGATTTGGT